TCACTGTACTAAATAAATCGGCCTTCTCTGGACACATCTCTTTGGCAACAGAAAGAAGGCATTCTTTAACAAATTCTCCCTCCACGAATGGTCTGCCAGTGCATGCTATTAGCTTGGAAACTTGAAAACTTGCTCGCAGTGATGAAATATTTAGCTGCTTCTGCTTCACAAAACTATTTCGCTGAGTTAATGTATTTTTCAGTTTTAATATTTTATCTTTTCTCACTTCTCCGACCAAACAAGCATATTTATCTTTATGTTGAGTTTTATAGTGTTGACGTAAATTGTATTCTTTGAACACAGACACTATATTCTGGCATATCAGACACACAGCTCTTTCCTTGTACTGCATGAAAAAGTAATCATAAGTCCACTGTTCTTTGAATATCCTACACTCCGAGTCAATTTTTCTCTTTCTTGACATCATTGTTTCCTAGGGAGTCAAAATTGATATTAGTAAAATACCAATATATATACAGCGCTACAAAAACAATATACCAGTAATAACTTTGCCCACACAGAGACATACAGACTGCACTGCCCATCAATGCAGTCTGATTGGGGGAAACTCCGCCCCCTCTCCCTCTTCCACCAATGACCGTCCTTCTCATGCAGAAAAAAAGTGACAGGCAGCGGCGGCAAAAACACCCGGCGGGCCGGATAAATGTCCTCGGCGGGCCGCATGTGGCCCGCGGGCCGTAGTTTGAGGACCCCTGGGTTAGAGGGTCGGGGGCGGGTAAAATCCACCAACCCCCCATCTCCAGAAGCCAAGGCAGCGCCATGCAAGTTGGTTGACAGAGGTTGCGAGGGCAGGACCATATTAGCATATTTAAGTGAGCGATACCCGTGTATAGTAGTGCAGTGTATAGTAGTGTATAGTGTAGTGTATAGTAGTGTAGTGTATAGTGTATAGTAGTGTATAGTGTAGTGTATAGTAGTGCAGTGTGTAGTGTATAGTAGTGCAGTGTATAGTGTATAGTAGTGTAGCATATAGTGTATAGTAGTGTAGTGTAATATAGTAGTGTAGCGTAAGTAGTGTAATGTATAGTAGTGTAATGCGAGCGTAAATGGGAAGGCCGGATGTGACGATCCGAGAGGGAGGAGTCAGGGTCACATGGGAGAGAGGTTATAGGAGGGAGCCCGGAAGAGATGTGGGGAGTCGAGGGAGTGAAGAGGCGAGACCACGTTGGGTGGCCGCCGTGCCAGCAGCCACAGGGCTGACAGGCTGGCACACCACCAGCTAGCGGTGTGCGGAGAGAGAGCGGAGCCGTGCGGGGTTGCACGGGGCTAGAAGAGTGCTAGCGGAGCGTGCGAGGTTGCACGGAGCTAGCAGAGTGGCTAGCGGGACCGTGCGGGTTGCATGGGGCTAGCGGAGGCCTAGCGGAGCGTGCGAGGTTGCACGGAGCATGCGGAGTGCACGGGCAGCAGAGTGGCTGCAGAGTGTGCGGGAGCACACGGAGCAGCGGGGTGGCTGCAGAGTGCGCGGGGCGCGTGAGAGACGACGCTGGTTCGAGAAGGAAGCCAGCGGGGTGCGGAGGAGAAGAACATCAATAAAGGACCAACGGAGAGTGACATCGTGTGAAGGAGTCCTTTATTACATTAGTGTCATGTATAGTGGTGTATTGTGTAGTATATAGGAGTGTAGTGTATAGTAGTGTAGTGTATAGTACTGTAGTGTAAATTAGTGTAGTGTATAACCCCTCTTAACTATCACCTCTGTTAACGACTAATCACTTAACGACGGGTCTCCATAGAGTACAATGTGTTCGCTAATCGACCTTTCCCCTGATGACGACGGGCTGTTGTAGGTATGTGTTAATAATGTTGTTAGTATCTTCATGTTTTAATATCCATTGTTTAAATACTATAAAATACGTTTTTGGGTGAAAAAGGGTCACTTTTGATGCTATTAATTAATTAAGCCTTTAACGTGAATTTACTTTACTCCCTTAATGACCAAATTAATTAACTACCGGTTTCGTGGTTTCAATTACCGTTAAGAGGGGTTCTACTGAACTACTATGACGACCCTGCACTACTATACAATACACTATACAGTACACCATAAACGAAACTATACACTATGCAATACACTACACTATACACTACACCATTCACTCCACTATACACTACAATACAATAAACTACACATTACACCATTATACACTACTATACACTACACTACTATACTCTACACTACACAAGACACGTCTACACAGAGGAGGGGTTCTACTGCACGAGGAGCTGGGGTGGTCGTCGTTCACCGGGGCCGGGCGGCGGAGGGGGGCTCCTACAGTGGAGCGGCTGCTGCGGTGTGGGCGAGTCGGTGGCCGGGACCGTTGTCGTGATGGGTCGTTGCTGGCACTGCTGCTGCTGCTGTAATGGGCGAGTCGGTGCCCTGAGCAGCTGGTGCATGGAGCAGTTGCATGCGGTGCTGCCGTGTGGGCGTGGCAGTGACCGAGACTGCTGGTGAGTGAAGTCACTCAGAGCGCTGTTGAGAGCAACCAACGTGGATACATTAAAGGGAGCCGTTGGGAGTGAGAGCCAATGTTGAGGTTGATGCTGCATTGAATCCTGCGAGTGCTGCACTACCATTGGGTCCTGGGGGTGATCCCCGAGGCTGCACGTGACCTCGAGAGTGAATGTTGCGCACCAAGCTGGTGGGCTTCTGCCGCGTTGCCTCGTCTCCCGGGAGGGGAGCGCGCGTCAGGGTTGTGGTGCGAACGGTCGCCGCGGAGTTCTGCGATCGTCGACGCGCTGTGGGGTCGCCACGTTAAGCCGGTGGACTTACGGGGTTATGTAAACGTGCGCTGTTACTGTTTCCGAGACTTTTGAAGAGTTGGTTGCACTTGGTTATCAATAAATTATTATCTGCCACAGTTGATTCGCGTCCTTGAGCAAAGTGTTTCAATAGTGCATGACGAATCGAGGCATTGTTAATCAATTCCAAATCTTGTTAAGTTTCTTTGTATTCCTGATCCAATTATTGTCCTTGTTTTTGTCGCCATTAAAGTGTAGTGCTGAACTTCACATGACAGCTTCTTGCTTTTCCGTCGTCACTTTATTTCTCTAACACAATATAATTCAACATCGTTTCAGCATGCTCTCCCTCGCTCGCCGCGTTCTGCTGGCCTCGCTCGCTCTGCTTCTCTGTCACAGTTCAGCCGCTCACCCGTGGCTTCTCCGCCACACTCCAGCCGCTTTATATCGGCTCCTCCATCACACTCCAGCCGCTTTCTGTCGGCTTCTCCGTCACACTCCAGTGCTACGCTATGTGTCCCTCACTCCACTGCTACCCTATACTTCTCTCGCTCCACTGCTACCTTATACTTTCCTCGCTCCAGTGCTTCGGCTCCGACCGTCTTCATCCACTCCCAGGCACAAACTCCCCTCAGCTCCCAACACCCCTGTATTTATGCCCAACCAAATTAACTCCCAATTAATTAGTTGGCGACCCCCTCGCCGCCCCTCGCCGCTAGCCCCTGCCACCACTTGTCTCTTTTTCCAGACTCCGCGGCGCCAGTCCATGACAACAACAACCACCAGCCAATCACGGTCCCTTGTCCTTAAATACCCCCAACCCGTCTCTGGCCTACCCGTTCGAGCCCTGGCAACAACGCTCATCCTCATGCCCCCACTGTACTCTGCGCAAACGTGCTCACAATCTCCTGTGCGTGGCGCATGTTTAAACCACTACAAAAGCAATGTTGAAAAATCTGCGCTGGTGCCCTATACGAAAATTTGTGAGAATTGCAGGGCAAAGAAAATGGATCCTTACTGCTTTCTCTTGCCTTTGTACTGATCGTTTTTTTCGTGTCCTCTGGTCTACTAACATTGGTGGTGAGACTAGGCCATAAAGAAGGCTGCTGTGTCCGTTTCAAATACAATACCTATATATTATCAGAGCATGTTTTGTTTGCATATGCACCACAAGTACTGTGTGTGGTTAATGGAGACATTATTCCTTGCAAAGTTTCTGTTTGATGTTTTAACATCTTAACACAACAATTTTATTGCTAGAATTTTTTTTACCTATCATTGTTATTTTCTCACACTTTAAAAGGTCCTATTTTTTTTACGCGCTGATGTTGATGTGTTACGGCCGGACCCCCCTGGGGCGCCTGCCCCCTGCGCACATGAGCAGGTAACGGTCCCGGGTTCAGCAAAGGGCCTCGCCCGGTGGTTTGTGGCTCCACAAACTGGGCCCTGAGCCCCAGCCACGTGACCGAGTTAAACGCGGCAACTCCCACCGGTGTCTCACAGCTCGACTACTGGAACGCGACTTTGAAACAGGAACACATTATTTTCATGAAGTAGTTTAAAGTGTTAAACGTAAAACAAAAAGTGAAGCCGGAAGACATAGATAACAATCTCGTGGAGTAAAGCGGCAGGGTGCAACGAGTTTACTAGCAGCGTTCCCCTGCCAGTTTAGCTGATACGAGTTGAGGTGAGGTGAGTTGGTGAGTTTAGTTGAGGTGAGTTGAGGTGAGATGAGGTGAGTTGAGGTGAGTTGAGGTGAGTTTAGTTGAGGTGAGATGAGGTGAGGTGAGATGAGGTTAGTTGAGGTGAGTTACGATGGGGTGAGGTGAATTGAGGTGAGTTGCGATGAGGTGAGTAGAGGTGAGTTGAGTTGTGATGAGTTAAGATGAGGATAAGTATTTGAGACGAGGTGATCCGAGTCTTATTTTTTAAGCCACCCCTGGAGTCGGGACGTCTGCACTCACTCACACGTCAACACATTACAGGGCACGCCTCGTGATATGCAAATCAAACTGAAAGACTTCCTGCTTCCTTGTCACCTAGTTACGTGGCTTGTTCCACGTTTAGCGTCTCAGACGCAGCCAGTGACTGCATGAGAAACAGACAGACTGTCTGAGCTACAGACAGACTGCCTGAGCTACAGACAGACTGTCTGAGCTACAGCCATATACTGTCTGTGCTATAACCAGAGACTGCCTGAGCTACAGCCAGCCCCCGTCTCTGAGTGGAGCCACAGGGCCATGGCGAGTGCGGCTCCCAGTGGTATCGATGCCCCAGGGGAGTTGACCTGCACCATCTGCCTGGGCGCCTTCCACTGCCCCTGCACGCTCAGCTGTGGCCACTCGTTCTGCCTCAAGTGCGTGGAGGGCGCCTGGGATGCGGCCGAGTTCTTCTCCTGCCCACAGTGTCGAGTGACCTTCCCACAGAGGCCCAAGCTGAGCAAGAACTTCACACTCGCCAACCTGGTGGAGCAGCGCAGTGCCGCAGAGAAAATGGCCACCGTGGTCTTGTGTGACTTCTGCAACGATGACACGACCGCTGCCTCGAAGACCTGCCTCAAGTGTGATACCTCCTACTGTGTGACTCATGTAAAGCCTCATCAGGAGAACCCGAAGTTCAGGGATCACATTCTGGTGGCTCCAGCCACGAATCCTGAAGAACGCAAGTGCAAGACGCACAGAAAGGAGCTCGAGTTTTACTGCCGACAGGACGAGAGCTTGGTCTGCACAACCTGCACCATCGCAGGAGACCACAAGGGTCACGATGTGGCTACGCTGGAGGATGAGCACAAGACACGGGAGGTGAGACGGTCTGCGTGTGTGAGCGGGAGCCTCTCCTGCATGAAGTTATAATTTCCCAGTATAAACTGAACAATAACATCCAACTAAATATCATTCCTCTCTCAGCTGCCCATTGTTCCTTCATATTTGAACAAGCTTGTTTTACTATAAAGTATGCTGAGGTTCATATTCTTGGTTCTTTCGGTAAAGTCACGTAGAAGGGAAATAATACAATAATAATAATATTAAACATTTCCCTTCTACGTGACTTCATCGAAAGAACCAAGAATATGAATCCCTGCAGTCACGAAAGCTTTCAATCATAATTTATGCTGAGGTTATATTTTAAAAATAATACAACCGAAAGTTATTATCAATCCTGTTGTTTGGCAAATTTATAAATGTGCTCTTAGTATATTTGATAAAACTGAAGGACTTTAATGTGTACAATGTTTTCTCAAAATTACGTGAGTGCATATACTGTGGTTTGTATACACAATGTCGTTTGTGGTAGAGAGAAGCATTCCCCAAAATGTTAACGAAATGTAAAACGACTGGGACTGCGTGAGCTGCAGTGCTCACCGCTTGGTAGCCTCGTGCCGGTCTGTGCCAGTTTAGCGCCGCACCCTACAGCAGCTACCGGGTCACTGGACGTGGTGTTCCAGAAATGTCACGTGATTTTGACAGACCAAGTATTTTATGACCGTATTTATGTTTTCATCAAGATGCTCTCCACCGAATTTGCCCCCATCACTGTGGAGGGGTTTGTGCGGAGTGGGGGTGAAAGGGGATGCTCAGAGAGTGAGTGGAGTCTTCCCTGGTGACGTCTCTCACAGAAACAAGTGGGAGAGGAGACGCGGGTGGTGGAGGAGAAGATGAGGGAGGCGGAGGAGTCCGTGAAACAGATGGAGGCCGCTCGTAGGGACGTGCAGGTACCGCGTCTGGGCCGGACTCGGTGACCCCATGACTCCACCCTGAGTAGGGTTTGTGATGGAGGACAACTCCATTCATTCACGTGGACTTCCATTGGCTCTAAACACATCGTGAGACTAAAGACAAAACGGTCAATGCACCTCAATAATCAGGACGAGCAAAGTGGTGGTTCTCATCTCCACTGAGAAACGCAATCATGGGTTAATTCCACATTCCCATATCTCCATACAACTTACCACTTCAACGACTGTTAACTATATTGGTCAGATGAGGTGGTACGTACCTCTTATCCAATTCTGTGGTGGCAGAGTTGGTGGATCACACCCAGGCTGTTGTACACCATCTTACTAAAACCAGTCAGGCTTTAGGGTTGCCAGGTGGCAGTATAGCATGTGGTTTCATGATCCCCTCTCTTCATCCATGCATGTGGTTTTCTCTCACATTCAAAACATGCATTTAAAGAGGAATTGGCCTAACTTCCCATTTCATTAAGGCTCTTTACAGATTTCCCTTCCCTTCATGCGAAGGTCAACAAAGCATTGTCCTGATAACCTTGCACAATGATAATGGCATGGATGCTAAATGTACTCATTATGGTATTTGATGATTTCATTGCCTCATTGACCCCGCCAGTTATGGCGAATCGTGTTGTAGTGAAAATGCACAGTGGCGTTATCAGAAGAAGGAGGCCTCAGTGCTGCAGACTCATAATCACTGTCTGGACACCTTCCGAGTTGCACTCGGGTCACACCGACCTGAATGTCAGTTCACAAAGGACCAGACATTTAATGAACAGAGGTGGCATTTGTTTTTCTTTGCAGGGATCCGTGACAGATGAAAAGGCCTCAATCTCGGTCAGATTCGTCAGAGCGAGAGCAGCGTTGGATGCAGAGGAGAAGGCGGCTTTAGAGCAAGCGGAGCAGAAAGGGCGCAAGCTGCTGACCCAGATCGAGAAGAAGATCGCTCACTACCAGCGCGAGATCAGCGAGCTCCAGGCAGCAGCCACTCGCCTGCAGGCCCTAGCACAGGAGAGGGACTCGCTCGCATTCCTGCAGGTGAGCAATGAGTCTACAGTGTCGCTATTGGCACAGAGCCCTCTCACCAGCAGCAGCAGAGGGAGGCTTCTAAATGAGAGCTCGCATCCACTGGGCCTGAGAACACAGCTCCACTCATGGACTCGCATCGCAGCTTCAGTAGCTGCCATGTGGAAGCCCAGCTCATATTTTCTCAGTTAAATGAATTCTCTCTCCCGTCCTTTAACATATTCCCATTAAGTTTGTTTCATTGTGAATATAAACTAAATGTTATTGGATTTGCACTTTTTAAATAAATCCTACAACAACAATGTGCACGGTATTCATGATCATCATCAGCCATGCTCTATCCACTTATTGATGAAGCCATTACCACATTTCATGATGCTGCGATGCAACAATCCACCAGCGCCTGCTCACGAGCCGATGTCATCTCTGCTTCTTACTTTGTGGGACTCCTATTGGATGCGCGACCTTCAGTGTTCATATTCGTGAAGCTAAAATAAATACGAGGTCTCATACGCTTATTAATAATATCCACTTCTACAAGACCTGCCTCGTGTGCAATAGTAAGGCCCGAAATTACCTATCCTAAGATACTTTCAACACAGATCAATATCAACCGGTCTCACTCTGAAATGTTTGCCCTGCAATTCAGTGTTGGTCCTCATGGGGGTGACGAGATGTTAACTACCTCGCCTGGTATACCGGAGGTCGTGGATTTGATCCCAAACCTGACATCCCTATATATTTGGAGTTTTCATGTCTCTCTCCATGATCGCATGCATTTTTCTCCGGTCCTCCAGTTTTTCCCTCCCCATTTGTATTCGGCTGCTATGCATTTCCATGTGATGAACCACTTCATTGAGCTATCATTTGTGGCCAAGTCGCTTCTGAAAAAGAGCTCTATCGCTCCGTGGGACTTACGTGGAAAAATAAAACAGTTTATAGTTGACTTTCAAACGGTCTCACTCTGAAACATTTGCCCCGTAAGTCAGTGTTGGTGATCATGGGGTCAAAAGCCAAAACTTTGGGATTTATATTCCACGGTGTTGCAGTGGGAACTCCACTGATCACAAGGGATTGGAGGTAGAGTAACAGTAACGCATCTCTCTCTCTCCCATAGGGGCACCTGGAAGAGACGCGCAGGTAAAAGACGACGATCACTCACGACTCGACACACGACAACATGCGACTGAGTATGGGGTGTGGGCAGTGAGACATTGGCTGTGTATGGGGATGCTGTGTGTGATGATTCCATGTGATGGTGATGCTGTGTGATGATGCTATGTAGTGATGATGCTGTGTGTGATTAGGCTCTGTGTGATTAGGCTGTGTGTGGTGATGCTGTGTGTAGTAATAGTAATTCTGAGTGGTGATGCTGCAATTGTGAGATGAGTGATGATGCTTTGTTTGATGAGTATCTACGTGATGGAGCTGTGATGATACTGCGAGTGACAATGCTCTATGTGAAACAGTGGCCATGTCTGTTCTGCTTTCACAGGGCAGGGAGGGCTACAGCAACTCTACCCTCAGCTCCCAGCCAAGTCTCACTTAAAGTCCTGGAGACACCTGCAGTCAAACTCCTGTGTGAGTTCTTCAGTGTGAATCATGGGTGATGGGGCCATCTTGACAATAAATTACCCCGGTGTGTGTGCACGAGGTCGACTCAGCCTTCAAATAATTACCTGGAGTTGTATAAACATCACCACTAGGGAGACAAAGGCGGCCAGGTGTAGCGCAGGCCACCCCATTGTATGTCGTGCCAGCCTTCAACGTTGCTGATTTGCCCCAACAGTCTGTAAAGGCTACACGGGGGATATTTCTGTGTTTACATCCTGGAAACTGATGCGTTGTGTAAACAAAATCGCCACGAGTGAGACAAAGGTGGTCGGGCGTGGTGCTGGTCACCCACCTCGTGTGCCCTGCCAGCCTTCATAGACGCTCACGGACAGCACTTGTCCCAATAGTCTGTGAAGGTTACACAGGGGATCTTAGTCTTTGTTCACATCCCATTCCAGGACCCTACTGAACAACACCACGAGACTCAGTGTGGTGTTCTTGGGTAAATAAACAGCATGAGTCATGGGTAATTGTGATGTTGAGATGCAGTGAGTGCCTGTGAATGTGTATGCGTGAGGGGAGCAGTAGCACACTGCACTACGAACCCAGTTCCCTGGGTTTGATTACCCGCCATGGCTAACATCAGTGGCAGGTGATATCTGATCCAGTCCTGGGTCTCTGCTAGGCAGTTTAAGCCTCATTAGTTCCTGATGTTAGTAATGGTTATAATGATGGTGATAGTGGTCGTGATGAGGATGGTGATAATGATTTTTTACTTACGTGACTTTACCGAAAATGCCTAAGAGTATGAATCCTTGCAGTCACGAAAGCTTCAAATCTAGAAAAAGATAATGATGCTGTTAGTGATAATGTGAGTTATGGGAATGGTGATGGGATTGGTGATGGTGTTGGTCGTCGTGATGTCAGTGACGGTCATGGTGATGGTAATGATGGTGACATTGGCGATAATATAGGTGGTGATGGTTGTGATGGTTTTGCTGATGGCCCTGATGGTAGTAGTGATGGTATTGGTTATGGTGATCATGGTAGTTGATGGTGGTTATGATGGTTTTGATGGTTGTTGTGATGGTTATGATCCTGGTCGTGTTGGTGATGCTGGTGATAGTGATGAAGATGGTGGTGATGGTGATAAGTGGTGATGGCCGTGGTGATGGTAGTGATGGTGCTAGTGGTGGTGATGGTTGTGATGTTGCTTATTGCGATAGTGATGTTGTTGATGTTTATGGTGTTGATGATGGTGGTGGTGATGGTGATGTTTATGTTGTTGTCATTGAAATTGATGGCGAGGATGGTTGGTGATGGTGATGTCTGTGATGTTATTGTTGATGGTGAATATGATGGTTGGTGGTGTTGATGGTGGTGATGGTGATGACGGTGTTCTGTAGTGATGTTGTCATCGCTGTTGTCACAGACAGATGCTCACCAACTCTGGACACAAACTCAGCTCAAAATAAACTCCAAATCTCCTCGAATCTCAGGACGATGACAGCAGTCCGTGCCTCCCAGGGTCGCCCTGATCACCCACACCGGTTTGATCACTTTGCACAAGCCCTGTGCTGTGAGAGCTTCTCGTCGGGCCACCACTACTGGGAGGTGGACGTGGGGGACGCACGGTGGTGGCGGGTTGGAGTCGCGTACGGGACGATCCCACGGAAAGGACGTGGTGGTGCTGCACAGTGGCTGGGAGGGAGCGACGCGTCCTGGTGTTTAGAGAAATGTGACGACAGCTTCTCAGTGGTTCATGGTGGAGTGAAAACTGCACTGTCGGTGAGGGGGGCCCCCTCCCCCGGCAGAATCGGGCTTTACCTGCACTGGGAGGGGGGGCTCCTGGCGTTTTACTGTGCAGACTCCATGGAGGTGATCCACGAGGTTCGGCAGAGATTCTTGCAGCCTCTCTACCCTGGGATGTGGGTGCAGTATTATAATGAACCATTGAAGATCGTGGATCTGAGTCGTGCATCCTGAGGATGAAGAGAGATAGAAACCCAATAAACCGAGACAGAAACCCAAGAAACGGAGGAGAGGGGGGATGGTGAGGAGAGCGTGAAGTTTGGTGAGGGGAAGGTGAAACGGAGGGTGAGGTTAGGTTCAAGTTCATGTATTAGGTATAGCCCTGTGAGCCATTCGGCTCTTGAATCGGGTGCAACCGCAACAAACAAAAAACTTAAACATGAACAAAAAACATCTTAATGTGAATATGTGACTGAGTGCAAATAGAAATCCAAGAAAAGACAGCAAAACATTGCAGAAAAAAATCACCGTACACCAACGCTGTGTGCAAAAATCCCAGTGGGATGCAAGTTAAACAACCAACAACAACCACAATACAACTTAGATTAACGCCATCAGTCTAACTCTGTACTACAACAACACAAACATGGCCAAACCAATATACTTTTCGAAATCACCAAAATAAAGCCATGAAAGCAATGAAACAGTGATCATAGGAACTGTGACGGAATTTTCACAATAAATGGCATAAACAACATGTAACCCAATCAACGTTGGAGAAGCGGGATGGTGAGGAGAGGGTGAAGCAAGGGTGAGGGGAAGGTGGAACGGAGGGTGAGGTTAGGTGAGGGTGAGGGGAGGGTGAGGTGAAAATTGAGGGAAGGGAGAGGTGAGCATGGAGGGGTAGGGTGACGGGGGAGGGTGAGGTTCAGGTTGGCGTGCGTGAGCAATGTTGCCGGTGCAGAACAAATCGCAGGTTCGTGTGACCGCTCCTTTGCCTGCAGTGCGCGTTCACGTCACCACGTCTCCTCATCCCTGCGATTCACCATCAGCACCATCGTCACCATCACCAACATCATCATCACCCCATCATCATCACTATCAACAACAACAACCGCAATTCGCCACTAAGTGGCGGTGACGTCAGCACGACGCTTGTGCCAGGCCATGTGCACGTTGAGGCCACGTGAAGTGTCGAACGCCCGCTGGCAGGAGGTCACGGGGCAGACCCAGCAGGTGCCACGGGTCGACTGACTGAGACAACTGGCTGATGTACCACCACCTGTGCCCCCTACTGTGCCAACTTGTGCTTTAGCCACCCGGCGCTCCGCTCGTTGTTGTGAGCGTCACTCATCCGCCCTCCATTGTTGTTGGAGGACGACTGCCTCCAACTGCCCAGCAGCGTCCTTCACGAGCCTCCTCCACTGAGGCCGATCTTGACACCGCTGGTTCCAGTCATCAGCAAGTCCACTCAGCTCCACGTCCTCCTGTACCACATCACTCCATCTCTTCTCGAGCCCGTGCCGCGCCCGTTTAGCCCCTTGATCAGGCCGAACAAAAGCTGTTTAGGCATGCGGTGACTGGGCAGGCGGTCTACATGGCCCAGCTAACGCAGCCTTGCCTGCCGGAGGAGCTCACGGATGGGGCCTTGTCCAGATCTTTCAAGGATTCGTGAGCTCCTCACACAATCCAGCCTGGTTAAACCCAGGATGGATCGTAGGCAGGCCAGGCTAAATATTTACAATTGGCGAAGATGCTCCATCAGGGGGGTCCACGTTTCGCAAGCGTAGAGAAGGAAGGGAATGACTGTGGCCGAGAAGACCTGAAGCTTCGTGCGGAGCGAGAGACGCCACCTTCGTTGGTCGTAATATGCATCATGAGGGAAATGTGAGCATGAGGAAGACGACGTTTTTGCCACCCAATGGTGTGCAATGTACTGCTTGTCTATGAAAAGACGCCGCATCTCATGATGCATACGACGACAAAAAATCCGCAGACTACCTGCTGGATCTCCTCTCTGTTTCAAGGAACAAATTTGACCTAAGGTCTTCGCTCATTAACCAGCTTCACATTCCCTATTGCCGTACAAATACTGGAGCAAGTGCCGTTGTTATTAAAGCCCCCAGGGTCTGGAATGCTATTTCCAATTAACTGCAACTTGAATCACTACCTATGAGATCTTCACTCATAACTGCTCTAAAGGAGTTGTACAACCCTAGCTGCCACTGCTATTCAGTGGCCTGAAATCAAATGTATCGCTACGGATGGCCGCTGCAAAGTAACATCTTGTGTTTTGATTATAGTGTGCTAATCTTTAAAGATACATTGAAAATGTTTGATATTCCTACTGATACTCCTGCTGTTATGCAGTGACTCATGCAGCCAGCTATGGTTGCAAAGTTTGCTCGTACATGTTATGTGTATCGTTTATTGTTAAATTGGAATCACAGTTCCTTTGATCACTGTTACATTGTTTTTGTAGCTTAATTTTGGTGATTTCGAAAAGGTTCTGGTTTAGCCATATTTGTTTGTTGTAGTACAGAGTTAGACTCATAATCTAAATTGTCTTATTGTTGTTTTTGTTTGACTTGCATCCCACTGGGATTCTTGCACACAGCATTGATATACGGTGCTTTATCTAGGAGACTTTGCTGTTTTTTCCCTAGATTTTTATGTTGCGCGTAATTACTTTAAGATGTTTCTTCTTCATGTTGTTGTTTGTTGCGGTTGCACCCGATTAAAGAGCCGAATGGCTCACATGGCTATACCTAATAAATGAACTGAACTGAAGTTAGCTCCCACACACCGTTACGCAACCAATGAAAAGATAATGCCGCTTGACTGATTCGGAGTGAGACCTCTGCTGTTAATGAGCACACTGCCCAGGTATAGGAAACTCTACACTCTCTCCACAACTGCCCCATCACCAATTGAGAGTTGTGGGGGAGGAGTGTCCGATGGTACAAAATACCCAGGCAGGTGCTTCGTTTTGGTGGGGCTGATGGTAAGGCCCCAACTCCTGGTGGCACGCTCCAGGTTCAGCAGCAGCGCCTCCAACTCCTCCTCTGAGTGAGCAGCATTCACCAGATCATTGGCATACGTAACATGGTTGAGTAATAGGGAGTCATCCCTTGACCGCACCCGGGCATCGATCAGCCTCCCATTATATCTGTACCAGATGGAAATTCTTCCGGTACAGCTATTGAAGGCTTCACGAACTACGTGGTCAAAATAGATGTTAAATAATGTGGGAGCAAGAGGACTCCCTGTCGCATCCCAAGGTGTACAGGAAATGGCTCTGACGAAGCAGCCTCGCTTCCTGCGAATCCTCGTCGCCGTGAGTCCCTCACCTGCCTCTCAGGCGTCTTTGTCTTCATCACGCCCCCCCCCCCCTCGAGAGAGAGAGCGACAGGCAAAGAAGCCCCCCCCCCCCCCGCCGCCAAAAGGCCGAGGCGTTTAAACCACCCCCTGAGGCGAGGCCGCGAGAGACACCGCCCCTCAGATAGAATCCGTACCGGCCGAGGCGCGAGGTGCTCGGTAGGCCGGCCTAGGCCGATGCCGGTCACGCGCGGTAGGCGGCGGTGGGGAGGGAAATTGAAAACAACTTTAATAACGTTTCATTTAATATCTACTCCTGTTTATATTTGTGTCTTTAAGTCGCGACGACGAGTTGGTGGTGGTGAGAGGTGGGGGTGTTTAAGCGGCTCGCTGCTGTTTGTAGACAATCTGTTAGTGGTAGGAACCTCCTGGTTACACCAGCCCACAGGGGATTATTGTGTCCGTCGTGCAGGGAGGCGCTGGGTGGGGATGGAGGGGAGGGTGGGGAGGGGTGGGGCTGGGTGGGGAGGGTTGGGGCTGGGTGGGGAGGGTTGGGAGGGGCTGGGTCGGGAGGGTGGGGTGGGGAAGGATGGGGAGGGGCTGGGTGGGGAGGGGTGGGGAGGGTGGGGCTGGGTGGGGAGGGTGGGGCTGGGTGGGGAGTGGGGAGGGGCTGGTCACCCCGTGGTGCCCTTATAAAACTCAACGTTTAACCTACTCACGCCGGCTTGTGCCCGCCCTCACAGTCGGGCATATTTGCGGAATACACCACGCCGCCGTTGACCCTGGCCATTGACCGAGCAACCCAACGTTCCTACCAGCTCCCTCCGCAGGAATGTGTTGAGTGATTTGTTTACCTCTCCTGTACGCTGCCCCTCCCGTCGTGTCTTGTGCGCGCGTTGTGTGTTGTCACGTTCTGATCCCCGTAGCCCACGACTGGACATCTGTGATGAAAGAGCCTCAGAGATTTTCGGATTCCTCCTGCAGTATAAATACAGATTCTGGTGCTCACAGACCCACACAGAGACCATACAGAAACCCACAAAGACCCATACATAGACCCATACTCAGAGTCCTATAGAGACCCACAGATCCATCCATCGAACCACAGAGACCTATTGAGACCCATACAGAAACCCACAGAGACCTATTGAGACCCATACAGAAACCCACAGAGTCCCATACTCGGGGATCCATGCAGACCCACAGAGACCCATACTCGGAGACCCTAACACAAAGCCCCATACAGAGACCCACAGACACCCATATAGACTCGCAGACACCTACAAAACCATAGAGACCCAAAGTCCCATAGTAACCCACACAGACCCATAGAGACCCACACTGTGAGTGTGATTGGTGGTTAATGTTTCGATTTAAAGCTTTCGTGACTGCAGGGATTCATCTTCTTGGTTCTTTCGGTAAAGTCACGTAGAAGGGAAGTAATAAAATAATAAAAATAAAACATAATAAAACAATTCTCACTATTTTATTGTTTTTATTTTTTTGTTTTATTATGTTTTATTTTTATTATTTTATTACTTCCCTTCTACGTGACTTTACCGAAAGAACCAAGAAGATGGTGGTTAATGGTTGTAGTTTGTAAGTGTGGGGAGCGGTTGTGTGGGGAGCGGTTGCGCGCGCTGCGTCGCGGCTCACGACCAACATCAGTGGCGAGTGAAATCAGAACCGGGTCCTGTGCCTCCCCTAGGTCGACTCGGACTCAAATCAGAACCTGGTGCGGTGTGTAAAAATCAGCGCTGGGGAGACAAAGGTGGCCGGGCGTGGTGCTGGCCACCCACCCCCTCGTGTGCCACAGTGGCGGCCTTCACAGGCGCTGCTGCTGCTCGCTACTAACAGCTCTTGCTCCTCCAGCCTGGGTGGGCTACACGGGGGAGCTTTGTCACATTGTAGAGACAGACAAAGCTCCCCCGTGTAGCCTCCAATAGACTCTAGGGGCAAGTGCTGTTCGCGAGTTGTAGCACCTGTGGCACACGAGAGAGTGGGTGGCCAGATCCACGCCCGGCCGCCTTTGTCTCCCCGGTGGCGATGTTCACTACACACCACTGCACCAGGTACTCATTTGAGGCTGAGTCGACCTAGGTGAGCCTCAGGACCAAATAATCGTCATCAGTGTTGGCCTTGAGCGAGAATCAAACTCGGGTCACCGGGTTCTTAGTGCAGCACGCTAACCACTACATTACAGACACACATATAGACACGTGTACACACAGACACGTGTACAGACACGTGTACACACACAGACACGTGCACACACAGACACGCGTACACACACAGACACGCGTACACACACAGACACGCATGCATAGACACGCGTACACACACAGACACGTGTACACCACCACCAATGACACTCCCTCTGGCCCTGCTTCCGTGCCTCTGCTGTGCTCCACAGCACCAGCAACGCGTGCAGGGAAGCCGTCTCCAGCCCTGACCCACGATGGTCCGAGGCCCCAACATCCCCGTGGAATGACATCAACAACATAAACAACATCAACAACCACATTAACAACAAATACAGCAGCAGTGGAGGCAGAACCGACTGTGGGTCTCTGTGTGAGTCTATGGGTCTCTGTGTAAGTCGATGGGTCTCTGTGTCATGAGTCTATGGGTCTCTGTGTGGTGAGTCTATGGGTCTCTGTCTTAGTCTATGGGTCTCTGAGTCTGGTTCGGTGGGTGTGTATGGGTCTCTGTGTGAGTGTGGATCTCAGTTGTGAGTCTTGGGTCTATGTGTGATGGAATCTATGGGTCCCTGTTCGTGAGTCTGTGTCTCTGAGTGAGTCTGTGTCTCTGTGTGGTGAGTCTATGGGTCTGAGTGAATCTATCAAAGTGCTAATGTATTAACTCTTTCACCTTCACCGTGCAGTAGACTTGGCACATTTGTGTTGATAAACAGAACGAGCACTACAATAGGATTTGTATTGAATCAGATACAGCGAGTACTGGTCTGGTCACACACAAACTCACGTGAAATTAGTCTGTGTCGCTGTACGTTTATTGCTTTCTATAGTCACTTCAAATAAACAGTAATACTCAAGACAATGACACGTGCTGTGTTCTTTTTTACCTTCGATTTTTATTGACCATTTTTATTTTCTAATCAAACACGAGCAACCCGCACGGCCTTTGTACCTGATTGTCCGTGCCTGTGTGTGTTTTTTGTGCTTAGTTTGTTGTCCTTTACCCCGCACCTCTGATTAGCCCAGCTGGCTACATTCGTTGCAATATAATCTCAACATACATACAGTACATACAGGCAGGCGGCCAGGAATCCAGTCGGCAAATACTTTGTGAGCCTTGGTGTAAGCCAAGCCTGACTTCTGCTGATGAGAAACAGAACGTCAGAACCTGTCCTTGCCTATGAACATCTGGGCAATTCGCCAAGATTGCACCTCCGATTAGTACGATTGGCTACGTACATTGGCTACGTACGGTGCGAAATAAGTTCAACATCCATACATTGCTTCACGCGACTGACTGGCCCAGAGTGTTGCTTGCATTGAACCAAATGCCGCTTCAATTAGGCACTCCCAGAAGGCCGTGCCTGCGACTGACGGGATGAGTAAAACAATACGTGGTGTCAATCTTGATTTGAAGCTTTCGTGACTGCAGGAATCCATACTCTTTAGTTCTTTCGCTGAAGTCACGTAGGTAGAAAAATAATAGATCACGACGTTTCGATCGCAACACAAGCAACCGTCATCAGGTGGGACAACCACGGCAAGAAAAAAACTGCTGAAGTAGGCGAGAGACCTGCCGTGGCACGAGGTTATATCGGCCTCGGCAATAGGGGGGAGAGAGGGGGCGGGGGGAGAGAGGGGGCGGGGGGGAGAGAGGTGGGGGGAGAGAGGGGGCGGGGGGGAGAGAGGTGGGGGGAGAGAGAGGAGGTGGGGGGAGAGAGGGGGCGGGGGGGATAGAGGCGGCGGGGGGAGAGAGAGAGGGGGCTGGGCAGAAAGTGGACCCCGCGGCAGCACTTGGAGAGATCTGAGAGATCGGCTGCAGGGGGGGGAGAGAGAAGGGGGGGGGGCAGAAAGTACGTGGTGTGTATTATGTCTTTAATGTTTCTTGTGGAGAGAAGGGTTTTGCGAAGGAGGAATGATGATGATGTTAGTGACAATGATAGTAATGGTGATGGTAATGAGTGTGATGAAGGTGGTAGTGGTGGTAATAATGGTGAAATGGTGATGATGGTATTGGTGGTTATTGTAATAATGATTGCAGTGATGGTGATGGTAAGAAGTGTGATGGTGATAATGGTGGTGGTGGTGTCGGTGGTGATGATGACGATGGTGTTGATCATGGTCGTGGTGATGATAATTGTGGTGGTCGTGATGGGAATGAGGGAGATGGTGATAATGATGACGGTTATGGTGGGTTTTACGGTGATGATAGTGATGATGATGGTCGTGATGGGGGATGTGATAATGGTGATTATTATGGTGTTTTTGTGGTGTTGATGATGATGGTAATGATGGTGATTGTGATGATGATGGTGGTGATCATGGTGGTGGTAACGATGATGGTAGTGATGATCGTGGCAGTGTTGGTAGTGATGATGATGGTGGTATAGATAGTGATGGACGTGATAATGGTGATGATTATGGTGTTTATTGTGTTGGTGGTGATGGTGGTTCATGATGGTTATGGTCGTGGTCGTAGTGATGATGAGGATAATGATGTTGATGATGTTGGTGATGATATTGATGATGATAGAGTGGTGGTGATGATAGTGATTAAAATGGAGTAATGGCAATGATGCTGATGATCATGATGGTGGTAATGATGATGGTGATGATGGAGGTAGTGATGACTGGTGATTACAATGATGGGGGTGTTGATGGGGATGATGGTGGTGATGATAATAGTGATGAGGGGGTGATGATGGTGAATCGCAGGGATGATGGGGCGTGGTAACGCGAGCGCGCACTGCAGGTGAAGGAGCGGCCACATGGACTCTGGGGCTGCGCTGATTCCCCACTCAGATTTCATTAAAATCCCTCAAACTTCTACACCGGCGATTTGTACTTCACAGGTGACATCGCTCACCTACACTAACCTGAACCTAACCTTCCCCCCTCACCCTCCCCTTCCATGCTCACCTCACCCTTCATTCAATTTTCACCTCACCCTCCCATCACCCCACCCTCCCCGAACCCTCACCTTGCCTCACCATCGCCTCTACCCCCTCCTTCCCATCTTTTCCTCTCCTCAACCCCTCCTGACCCTTCACCCTCTACGCTTACCTGTCCCCTTCCCTCACCTTCCCCTCTAATCTCCCCTCACCCTCACTTCACCCTCTCCTCACCATACCCCCTTTCATCAGTTTCTTGGGTTTTCGCCTCAGTTTCTTGGGGTTCTAATATTCCTCATCCTCAGGATGCACGACTCAGATCCACAATCTTCAATGGTTCATTACAATACCCCACCCACATCCCAGGGTAGAGAGGCTGCAAGAATCTCTGCCGGACCTCGTGGATCACCTCCATGGAGTCGGCGCGATAAAACTCCAGGAACCCCCCCTCCCAGTGCAGGTGAAGCCCGATTCTGCGAGGGGAGGGGGCCCCCCCTCACCGACAGTCCAGTCTCCACTCCACCATGAACCACTGAGAATCTGTCGTCACGTTTCTCTAAACACCAGGATGCATCGTTCCGTCCCAGCTGCAATGCAGCACCACCCCCTTTCCGTGGGATCGTCCCGTACGCGACTCCAACACGACACCACCGCGCGTCCCCAACGTCCACCTCCCAGTAGTGGTGACCCGACGAGAAGCTCTCACAGCACAGGGCTTGTGACCAGCCATCAAACCGGTGTGGGTGATCGAGGCGACCCTGGGAAACACCGGTCCACTTCATCGTCCTGAGTTCCGAGGAGATCTGGAGTTGGTTATGAGCTGAGTTTGTGTCCAGAGTCGGTGAGCATCCGTCTGTGACAACAGCGATCACAACATAACTACAGGACACCATCATTACCATTACCATCTATATTCACCACATCAACATCATCAACCATCATCTTCACCATCAACCATCACAGCACAAAAAACACCAAAATCACCACCAACATCATCAATATGATGAACATCACCAACATCACTATCGCCATCAGCAACATCACAAACATAATCATCACCACTATCACTACCATTACTTCAACCATCACTAGTTCCCATCACCACCATCTAAAATACCCTTTGGTTCTTGCGGTAAAATCACGTAGGTAGAACATTTAAATAAAACAAAAAATAATATATCATGACGTTTCGATAGCAACACAAGTGGAAAAAAATAGCCAGCAGTGGAACTGCTGAACCAGCGAGAGAGCTGTTACAGCACGAGGTTATATATGTGGCGATGGGCAAGCAAGCGGGGTCTGAGCTGGAAAGGAATTCCATCCCCGGACGCAAGCACGTCAGTTGTGTTAATGGGGGAGATTATGGAGAGAGAGATTAGGGAGAGAGATTAGCATGAAATGTGCTTCCGTCGCCGCATAAGAGTATCATCCCCGCATGCGCGCACAGCAGCAGTGTTAATGGGAGATTAGCACTATGTTGATGGTAGTGATTAGGCAGGGAGATTAGGGAAATTAGTAAGTTAATGTAATTTCTATGTGTAAAACAAGCTGCGGTGCTGCCAACTGCGCTGTGAGGCAAGCGCTTGCTTGCACATCGCCACATATATAACATTGGTATAAGAGCTCTCTCGCTGGTTCAGCAGTTCCACTGCTGGATATTTTTTTCTGCCTGCGGACGATCGCTTGTGTTGCTATCGAAACGTCGTGATATATTTTTATTTTTTTATTTTTCTACCTACGTGACTTTACCAAAAGAACCAAAGAGTATGGATTCCTGCAGTCACGAATGCTTCAAATCACCATCTAACATCTTCATCACTATCACCAACAACACGACCAGCATCATAATCATCACAACGACCATCGAAACCCTCAATACCACCATCACTTCCATTATCACCATCAGCAAAACCATCACAACCATCACCACCTATATTATCACCAATGTCACCATTATGACCATCACCACGACCATCACTGCCATCACCACGACCAACACCATCACCAATGCTATCACCATTCACATCACTCACATTATCAGTAATATCAGCTTCATTACCACCATCCTCATCACAACCACTATCACCATCATTATGACCATTACCAACATCAGGAACTCATTTGAGGTTGAAACTGCCTAGCAGAGGCGGAGGAATGGATCAGATATCACCTGCCACTGATGTTAGCAATGGCAGGTAATCAAGCCCAGTAAACTTGGTTCGTAGTGCAGTGTGCTAACCACTATGCCATCGCTAACCCCACCTACAGATGCATAGAGACATTCACATGCACACACCGCATCTCAATATCGCAATTACCCATGACTGGTAATGCTTATTATTTACCAAAAAACACCACACTGAGTATCATGGCTCTGATCAGTCGGGGCCTAGATTAGGATATAAACAAAGACTAAAATCCCCTGTGTAGCCTTAACACACTGTCAGGGCAAGTCAGCACCTTTAAAAGCTGGCACGGCCAACAAGGGGGTGGGTGACCAGCACTACGCCTGGCCACCTTTGTCTCCCTAGTGGTGATGTTTTCACAAAACACCAGGTACTCATTTGAGGTTGAGTCGACCTCGTGCACACACACGGAGATAATTTATTGTCAAGACCACCCAATCACCCATGATTCACACTGAATAACTCACACAGGAGTTTGACTGCATTTGTCTCCAGGACTTGAAGTGAGGCAATGTCCTGTTGGCTGCGAGCTGAGGGTGGAGCTGAAGTAACCCTCCCTGCCCTGTGAAAGCAGAGCAGACACGGCCACTGTCTCACATTGAGCATCGTCACTCACAGGATCATCAAAGCTCCATTACATAGATACTCATCACAGCTTCATCACATCTAGACTCATCATAGAAAGCATAATAACTCATCACAACTTCTTACAACATCACCACACAGCATTACTATCACCACACTTAGAATCATCACACACAGCACATCACACAGCATCACCACGCAGTATCAGACAAAGCATCACTACACACAGCATCATCACACAGCATCATCACGCAGCATCACTACACACAGCATCATCACGCAGCATCACTACACACAGCATCATCACGCAGCATCCCCACACACAGCCAGTGTCTCACTGCCCACGCCCCACACTCAGTTCTATGTTGTCGTGTGTCGAGTCATGAGTGAAAGTCGTCTTTTACCTGCGTGTCTCCTCTAGGTGCCCCTGTGGGAGAGAGAGAGAGATGCATTACTGTGACTCTACTTCGATTCCCTTGCATTCAATGGAGTTCCCACTGCAAAACTGTCGGTGGAATATAAACCCCAAAGTCTTGGATTATGACCCCATGATCACCAACACTGACTTACGGGCCAAATATTTCAGAGGGAGACTGGTTGATAGTCAACTATAAAGTATTTTTTCTAGGTAAAGCCCATAGAGGTATATGGCTCTTTTCAGAAGCGACCTGGCCACAAACGATAGCTCAACAAAGTGGTTCATCACGTGGAAATTTATAACAGCTCAATCCTCTAAACGCACGATTCCAAATTTGGAGGGAAAAACTGGAGGACCCGGATAAAAGCCATGCGACCATGGAGAGAGACATGTAAACTCCAAATATATCGTGATGTCCCCGACCTACGGTATAGTAGGCGACGTAGTTACCATCTCGCCACCCCCATGAGGGCCAACACTGCATTGCAGGGCAAATATTTCAGAGTGAGACCGGTTGATATTGATCTGTGTTGAGTAATTTGGGACTTGAAATTTCTGGCGTTACCAATGCACATGGTTGCAGGTCTTGTAGAAGTGATGTTCAAGACACAAGGATATTATTAATAAGTGTATGAGACCTCGTATTTATTTTAGCTTCCATAATATGAACAAAGGAGGCTCACAAAGTAAGAATCAGCGATGACATCGGCTCGTGAGCAGGCACTGGTAGATTGTTGCATTGCGGCATCATGAGATTTGGCAATGGCTTGGGGAGGCCTTCATCTATCAGTGGATAGATCATGGCTAATGATAATCATGAATACCGTGTAAATTGTTGTATGGTTGATTTAAAAAGTGCAATTCCAATACCATTTATATTATATTCACAATGAAACAAACTTAATGGGAATCTGTTAAAGGACGCGAGAGAGAGAAAAATAATTCTCTCATCAAAACACTATGCCACAGAGCTCATGGCATCTCTGACCAATACCACCTGGCCAGTGAATTAAAACATGTAAATCGGGCCCTCAAGATGAACGGATACTCTGACCGCACTATCCGCCAAGCTGTTTCTCCCACCATACAGAAACAGCCACTTGAAACTCCGATCAAAACTATCACGTTGCCATACATAGCAGGCGTGACCAAAAAGATCTCCGAAATTCTAAACAAATATAAGATCCAAGTCCGATTCAGTACAGTAAATAAAATCTGTGATCTAATGCCATCTGTAAAAGATGTCATTCCTGACTTGCAATACCCTGGAGTCTATAAACTGAGTTGCAGCTGTGGTGATTGTTACATTGGGGAAACGAAACGTCATGTCTCCGATCGTGTCCGCGAGCACAAGTCAGATCTGAAACACGGCAAAATTGAGTCTTCCGCCATTGCCGATAATTGCTACAACGCGGTGGGCTCTCATAATATTGTCTTTTCCGAAACCAAGGTGCTCTGCATACCTTCTGGCTACCATCAAAGATTTGTACACGAAGCCATCCAGATATACAAACACAGACATAACTTCAACCGTGATGATGGGTACAAACTGAGTAATCATTGGAAAGATGTTATTAACCATGTAAAAAAGATTTAACTACGCATATTTGTACCATCTTATTTGATAGGTACTATTCTACTTTACCGAGTGTTGACATCCCCAGCGTTTAACAGTACTGCTTTTTTGTATTTGGATTTTCAGCCAACACCGGCCGCAACCCCGAGTTGAGATGCACCAATTGTTCTCTTTTAGCCCCGCCCACCCCCAACACGTTGCATTCCCTGGCTACCACATTCAGATAAGCCCCTTCCCCCCTCACCCTTAACATGTATTTAAGAGCTTGTCTCTTGGATTTTTCCTCACTTGATATAGTAAATTTAGCTGTGACGGTCCCACCTGATGAGACTTGTGCTGCCTCCGAAACGTCGTGATTTATTATTTTATTTCTATTAATATTTCTATTTAATTTGTTACCTACGTGACTTTACTGATAAAACCTAAGAGTACTGGAGAGAGAATTGATTTAACTGTGAAAATATGAGCTGGCCTTCCAAATGACAGCAACTGGAGCTGCAATACGGATCCATGACTGGAGCTGTGTTCTCAAGCCCATGAGATGCGAGCTCTCATTCAGGAGCCTCCCTCTTCTGCTGCTGCCAATAGCGACACTGGAAACGAATTCCTCACCTGCAGGAACGCGAATGAGTCACTCTCCTGCGCTCGGGTCTGCAGGCGAGTGGCTACTGCCTGGAGCTCTCTGATCTCGCGCTGGTAGTGAGCGATCTTCTTCTTGATCTGATACAGCAGCTCGCGCCCTTTCTGCTCTACTTGCTCTAAAGCCGCCTTCTCCTCCGCATCCAACGCTGCTCTCGCGCGGGTGAATCTGACCGAGATTGAGGCCTTTTCATCTGTCATGGATCCCTGCAAAGAGAAACAAATGCCACCTCTGTTCATTAAATGTCTGGTCCTTTGTGAAATGGCATTCAGGTCGGTGTGACCCGAGTGCAACTCTAAGATGTCCAGACAGTGATACGAGTCCGCAGCACTGAGGCCTCCTTCTTCATCTGATAACGCCACTGTGCATTTTCAGTACAACACGATTCGGGGGCTGTGAGGCATTGAAATAATAAAATACCATCAGGAGTACATTTATGGTCCGTGTCTTTCTCATTGCGTAAGACTCTCAGGACGATGCTTTATTTACCTTCACATGAAACGAAGGGAAATCTGTAATTTGCCGTCAACAAGTAGAGCCTTAATGAAATGGGAAATTAGGCCAATTCTTCTTTAAATGAATGTTTTGAATGTGAGAAAAACACATATGTATGGATGAAGAAAGGGGATTATGAAACCTCTTGTAATACTAGCACCTGGTCACTTTAACGCCTGATTGGTTTCACTAAAAGAGTGTACAACAGTCTGTGTGTGATCACCAACTCTGCCACCAGAGTATTGGATAAGAGGTACGTACCACCTCATCTGACCAATATAGTTAACAGTCGTTGAAGTGGTAAGTTGTATGGAGATATGGGAATGTGGAATTTCCACCACTGAATGAGTTTCTCAGTGGAGATGAGAACCACCTCTTTACTCGTCCTGATTATTGAGGTGCTTTGACTGTTGTATCTTTAGACCCACAATGTGTTCAGAGTGAATGAATGGAGTTGTTCTCCATCACAAATACTACTCAGAGTTGAGTCACGGGGTCACAGTCCGGCCCAGACGCGGTACCTGCACGTCCCTGAGAGCAGCCTCCATCCGCCTCACGGACTCCTCCACCTCCCTCCTCTTCTCCTCCACCGCCCGCATCTCCTCTCCCACTTGTTTCTGTGAGAGACGTCACCAGGGGAGACTCCACCCACTCTCTGAGCGTCCCCTCTCATCCCGCCCCACGCGAACCCTCCACAGTGACGGGGGCAGTAGCCCTGGTGCAGCGATGGAGGCTGGGGGAGCAAGGGCTGAAGGGAACTGATTTCACGAGGAGCTCAAACTTGCGCAGGGCTTCCTAAGAAGTGGGTCGGGCTACCTGTGCAGTGGGTGGAGCTACCTAGAGGGTGGGGATACCTGAGTAGTGGGTGGAGCTGCCCGAGAAGTGGGTGGAGCTACCTGAGTAGTGGGTTGGGGCAACATGTAGTGGGTGGGGCTACCTGCGTAGTGGGTTTGGCTTCCTGCTTAGTGGGTGTGGCTGCCTGAGTAGTGGACGGTGCTGAGTAGTCCATGTTGTGAGAGGTGGTAACAGGTAAAGTACAGGATGGCCATAAATGGCGAAATATGGTGGGTGGTTTGACCACCTGGGCCACTTCGGTAACCAAGAAGGCCTGTCTGGACTCAACTGGAAACGCGCTGGCTAACGGAGCTCTGGTTAGCCACTTAGGCTAAGGGAGTAAACCCTGATAAAATCCTGGGTGGATACCAAGTGGCCAACGGCCCACCTCGGTGGGGTAGATGAGCTACGGTTAAGTTGGCCAACGGCATATGACGGAGAAGACACTGGATGTCTGGTGCTTCAGGACAAGCCTTTTAATCGTCTTGGTTTTCTGTCTCGTCACTGGATCCAGGCTTGATTCCTGGGTAAGCCCAGTGCGGTAGCTGGTGTGCAACAGACACTGCACGTAAATTAATTCACGCACTGGCACCCTCCAGAGGAGATGTGCCATCGCACCACCACACTACACACCCAAAGTCCTTGGGCGATTGGCAAGTGGCGAGCGGGGCAGGCCTATGCGGCTCGAAGCTCCTAGTCATAACCCAGCACCAAGGCGGCAGCTATTAGAAGGTCGTCATGCACTCGGATTAGACAGGAGTGCATCCCGGCAGCTGTAGCTGTGACTGAGAAGCCCACAAGGATCCACTCTGCTCACCCCAAATTGGGAGGAGGCTAGAAAATGTGCCCTAAACATAGACTGCCGAGCAACATCCTATCTCGCTTACCGCGACCAGAGGGAACATCAATAATTGCGGTCGAAACAAAAATAAATACAGTAAAACCTTGGATTGCGAGTAACTTGGTCTGCGAGTGTTTTGCAAGACAAGCATTTTTTTTTAAATATTAATTTGATAAACGAGCGAGGTATTGCAATACGAGTACTGTAGTACATACAGTATACGCTTTGTCTGCCGAGCGTCACGTGATCACAACTGATATACGAATGCTTTGATATACGAGTGCTTTGGATTACAAACACGTTTCTGGAACGAATTATGCTCGCAATCCAAGGTTTTACTGTATAACCTAAACATTGGATCCTGGAATGTCAGCACCCTCACAAAAACCCAAACTCGCAAAGTCCAGAGCGCCAAACAGCTCTTGTGGCATGTGAGCTGAGACGATTTGATATCCATATTGCCGCCCTCAGCGAAATCCATCTGGTAGATGAAGGCCAACTGACTGAGCTAAGTGGAGGCTACATCTTTTGGAAGGGTAAACCAGTGCATGGACGCCTGCATGGTGTAGGGTTTGCAATCGACAACATGTTCATCAACAGCTTAAGTGAGCTCCCAATTGGTATCAATTAGCGTTTGATGACCCTACGCCTGAAATTCGCAATAGACCAACATGCAACCATCACCAGCACCTATGCACCAACACTGGACTCTAAAGAAGAGACTAAGGAGACCTACTACAGCCAACTCAACTAAATCCTTCAGAGTACACCAAAAACTGAAAAGCTGATTCTCCTCGGCGACTTCAATGCTCGAGTTTGGAGAGACCATCAAATGTGGAATGGTGTAATTGGTAAAGAGGGAGTTGGAAAGCCCAACTCCAATGGTCACCTTCTTCTTACAACCTGTTCTGAGCACAACATGACAATCACCAACACCCTATACCGGCAGAAGAATAGCCGTAAGACCTCCTGGTGCCACCCTCGATCACACCAATGGCATTCACTGGACTACGTGATTGTCAGGAAGTTTGACAGCACAGACGTCCGCATCACTCGTGCCATGATCAATGCAGACGATTCCTGGACTGACCACAGACTAATTCGATCAGTAGTGACTCTCAAACTAAACCACAAACACATGAACCGACCAAAACTACGGAGGAAAAGACGCAATGTAACCAGACTAAAAGACCCAGCAGTACAGGCCCGAGTGAAAAAAGACTCAGCACCAACCAGGCTTCAGGAATTTTTCATGAGTACTGGACACAACTCAAGACGGCAGTTATAACCAGCTGTGAGCACACCATTGGCTACACACGAAGGAAAAACTGACTAGTTTGATGACAACGACCAGGAAATTACAGGCCTCATTGACAAGAAGCAGAAAGCATTCATCGTCTGACAACACAAACAGTCTAGACAGAAAAAAAAATCATATAGGAGGCCAAATCGGAAGTACGAACTAAAATCCGGGAACTGAAGAACAACTGGTTCAGAAACAAAGCAGACGAATTACAACATCTTTCAGATTCCAATAACCCACGATTTTTTTAAAGCAACCAGTCTTATATGGACCATCAAAACAGGGCCTTGCACCACTTCAGTCTAAGGATGGGACAGAAATCTTCAAAGACAAAAATGCAATAATCTCCCGCTGGCAGGAACACTTCAGCTGCAACGCTGTTGTAGATGTTTCTATATTAAGTGAGATCCGCAACACTCTCCCACTGAGGATTTAGCTGGATAACCAACGATGCTTGAAGTGGCTAATGCTGTCAAACAGATGAAAAAGAACAAAACTAGTGGGCTAGAACAGATTCCTGCTGAGATTTACAAACATGGAAGACAATGCCTACTAGAACACCTGCACTCCCTCATGGCCAGGATCTGAATTGATGAAGACCTTCCCAACGAAGGGAAAGATTCCATCATTGTGACCATCTTCAAGAAAGGTGACAAGTCAGACTGTGACAACTACAGAGGAATCTCTCTTCTTACCACCACTGCAAAAATACTGGCAAGAATCCTACTAAACAGACTTCTACCACTTGCTGAAAAACTCCTTCCTGAATCGCAGAGTGGCTTTCGACCTGGTAGGGGAACCTCAGACTTGATCTTCTCAGCCTGTCAACTCCAAGAGAAGTGCCAGGAACAGAGACTACCATTGTACATCGCCTTCTTTGATTTGACTAAAGCTATTGATTCTGTTAATCGTGATGCACTATGGAGAATCCTTCTGAGATATGGCTGCCCAACAAAATGTGTTAACGTCCTCCATCTGTTGCATGATGGTATGAAGGCTGTCATCCTCTCTGATGGTGAAACCTCAGAGCCAATAGAAGTAAGGACCAGTGTGAAGCAAGGCTGCGTTATTGCACAAACTCTTTTCTCCATCTTCTTGGTGGGAATGCTTCATCTGACAGAGAACAGACTTCCCAGAGGCATAAATATCACATATAGGACAGACAGGAACATATTCAACATTAACCGTTTAAGAGCCAAGTCGAAAACATCCGTTATTATATTCCAATATGCTGATGATGCCCAAGTCAGTGCCTGCTCAGAAGCTGACCTTCAGGTCATCATTGTCAACATATGTACAGATGCTTACAACAGGATGGGTCTAAAACTGAATACCAGAAAAACTAATATATTTTTCAACAAGCTCCGGGAGGACACCGACCACCCCCTACAATCATTACCAACAATGCAATACTATAGAAAGCGCTCCCAGTTTCCCATACTTAGGCAGCCATCTCTCTAGCAATGTCTTAATTGATTATGAAATCCAACATCGGATTTCCCGAGCTAGTGCTGCCATTGGCAAACTTAAGAACAGGGTCTTTGAAGACCACAACATTACCACGAAGACCAAAGTGGCCGTATATAATGATGTAATCATTCCAACCCTCTTATATGTTGCAGAAATCTGGACCACTTATAGTAAACACATAAAATCCCTCGAAATGTTTGATCAACGCTGTCTCAGGAAAATAGTAAACATCACATAGGAAGAAAGACAAACTAATATCATTGTCCTGGAGCGATCAAACTCATCTAGCATAAAGACCATCATGATGAAGTATCAACTCAGATGGGCCGGTCACCTTGTGATGATGAATGACTTGAGGCTTCCTAAGCAAATCTTCTATTCCCAGCTCAGTGATGGATCACGCGCCCCCGGTGGTCAAAGGGAGCGTTTCCGTGACAACCTTAAAATGCATCTCAAGCGATGCCACGTAGATCCAAGAAACTGGAAAATCTATGCTCTTGATAGACCATCATGGAGGGCCAAAATAAACAATCGAACTCAGCATTTTGAGGCCGAGCGAAGAGAGTTGATGGCCAGGAAAAGAGCACGCTGAAAAGCACACACACCAGAGACAGAGACGACAAGTGGGAGCTCCAGGATGGACCATCCATGCCCCCACTGTGCCAAGATCTGCAGGTCACGGATTGGCCGATTCAGCCATCTCCGGACCCATGGCCAGCCAGGTCCACCTCACAACACAGACAAGTGACACCTGGAGGGAAATCAAACTCGACTTCGAGGGATCCCAGAAGAAGAAGGTTTGGGCTACCTGAGCAGTGGGCAGGGCTACCTGAGCAGTGGGTGGGGCTACCCGAGTAATGAATGGGGTTTCCAAAGTGGATGGGGCTAAACGAGTAATGGGTGGGGCTACCAGAGCAGTGGGTTGGGCTACTTGCGTAGTGGTTGGGGCTACAAAAGCAGTGGGTGGGGCTACCTTAGTGGGTGGGGCTGAGTAGTGGGCGGTGTTGAGTAGTGGGTGGAGCTACTTGAGCAGTGGGTGGGGCTACCTGAGCAGTGGGTGGGGCTACTAGAGTAGTGGGTGGGGCTACTGTAGTAGGCGGGGCTACCATAATAGTGGGCGGGGCTGAGTAGTGGATGAACAGAGCACCGGAGTGGTGAGACGTTATCTGCCTTGCCTGCAATAAAGGAGGTCGTGGGTTCAAACCCGTGCCTGATGCCTGTATAAATTGAGTTTTCATGTCTCTCTCCATGATCGCATGGATTTTTCTCTGGGTCCTTCGTTTTTTCTGTTCACATTTATAAAGGTGCGTTTAGAGTGTTTGGTTGCCATACATTTAGACATGATAAGCCACTTCGTTGAGCTGTCATTTGTGGCCAGGTTGCCTCTGAAAAATACCTACATAGGTCATTGAGCTTCATTTGGTAAAATAAAAAAGTTTTAGTTTAGTTTTACATGGTACAATGAGGCGCTGCCATGTCACTGTTGAGTGTCCGAGAAATTCGGTAGAGAGCATCGTGATGAAAATATAAATACGGTCACGAAATACTTGGTTTGTGAAAATCACGTGACATTTCTGGAACACCACGTCCAGTGACCCGGTAGCTGCTGTAGAGTGTGGCGCTAAACTGGCACGGACCGGCACGAGGCGACCAAGCGGTGAGCACTGCAGCTCACGCAGTCCTAGTCGTTTTACATTTCATTAAAATTTTAGGGAATGCTCCCCTCTACCACAAACCACTTTTTGTATACGAACCACAGTCTATGCACTCACGTCATTTTGAGAACACAGTGTACGCATTAAATATATTCGTTTTTATTAAATATACTAAGAGCACATTTATCAATTTGTCATATAACAGGATTGATAATAACACATGTTGTTGTATTATTTCTGCACTATGACAACCTCAGCATACTTTATATTAAATCAAGGTTGTTAAAATTTGAAGAAACAATGGCAAGCTGAGAGAGGAATATTACAATATTTAGTTGGATATTATTGTTCCGTTAGTACTTGAAAATTATGACTTCACGCAGGAGAGGCTCCCGCTCACACAAACCGTCTCACCTCCCGTGTCTTGCGCTCATCCTCCAGCGTAGCCACATCGTGACCCTTGTGGTCTCCTGCGATGGTGCAGGTTGTGCAGACCAAGCTCTTGTCCTGTCGGCAGTAAAACTTGATCTTCTTTCTGTGCGTCTTGCACTTGCGTTCTTCAGGATTCGTGCCTGGATCCACCAGAACGTGGTCACTGAACTTCAGGTTCTCCTGATGAGGCTTTACATGAGTCGCACAGTAGGAGGTTTCACACCTGAGGCAGGTCTTCAAGGCAGCGGTCGTGCCATCGTTGCAGAAGTCACACAAGACCATAGTGGCAATTTTATCTGCAGCACGGCGCTGCTCTTCCAAGTTGGCGAGCGTGAAGTTCTTGATCAGCTTGGGTCCCTGAGGGAAGATCACTCGGCACTGCGGGCAGGAGAAGGACTCTGCCGCATCCCGGGTGCCCTCCACGCACTTGAGGCAGAACGAGTGGCCGCAGCTGAGCGTGCAGGGGCAACGGAAGACGTCCAGACAGATGGGGCAGGTCAACTCCCCTGGAGCCTCGCTATCACTGGGAGACGCACTTGCCATGATCCTGTGGCTCCATTCAGAGATAAGCGCTGGCTGTTGTTCAGGCAGTCTCTGGCTGTAGCTCAGGCAGGCTGGCTGTAGCACAGACAGTCAATGGCTGTAGCTCCGGCAGTATCTAGCTATAGCTCACGCAGTCTCTGGCTGTAGCTCAGGCAGTCTCTGGCGACATCTGAGACACTAAACTAGGAACAATCCACGTAAATGTGAGGCAGGTTAAAGTACAAACTATTTTAGTTTGATTTGCATATCATGGGGCGCGCCCTGGAATGTGTTGACTTTGACCAGGCAAGAGACGTCTCGGTGCGAGAAGTAGCTAATAAAGACTCAGCTCACCTTATCTCAATTTACCTAATCTCAACTAACCTATTGTCAACTCACCTTGTGTCAACTCATCTCATTCTCAACACACTTCTGTGAAGGTTGGTCCATCTTGGACCTAACAAAATTCCCTCTTGTAGTCCATTTATCTGCTCTCACAATCAACAGCTACCCTCCAATTACACAAACTCACGAGCCCCACCGTCACGCAGAGATGACGTAGGTTGTCTCCATAACAAAGTTGAATTCACCTATCAAAAGCTCAAAATAATCGTGACCCTTAAAGACGCGAATATAAGAACAGTTGAGCACCAACAAATCCTGGTGCGTCCTGTCCAGACAGTCCAGAAAGGATGTCGGAGTTGCAGTTGAAAAAGTCCCTCCAGTCTAAGTTTCACTCTTTAGTTCAGTCTCTAAACGGTCCACAGGGTTCATTAAGTTTGTCCAAAACATTGGCCACAAATAATGAGCCTGACAAGGTGCACAGCCATGGACTCACTACTCAAAGCAGGTGGCCTCCATGGGCACTGCAGGTGTCCTCAACAGTCTGAAACGAAAAGCCTGCTGTAGGGTTGTGGTTGGATTTCTCGCACATTCAAAAACACTAATTTGAAGAGGAATTGGCTGAACATTCCAAAACAATATTTGAAAAGTGGCTCATTGGGGCGTTACTTGTTGAAGGACAATTTACGCAGATTAGCCTTCGCTGACAGTGACAGATACAATTTAAACAGATGGCGACCTCCAGAGCAGTGGCGAGCCTCGCTGCGTCTGTTAACAGCGGTGCTCACATCAACAACTTGTTTTATATTTATAACACACCTTTTCTCAATGTGCTTAACATAGTTAAATAAAAAGGTTAAATAATACAATGATACGTATGATAGGGACGTATTAAAGGCTGACGAATGGGTGACTGTGATCGGGGATACTTAGAGATCACGAAAGGGTAGGGGGAGGGAAGAGGAAGAGTGTGACGGTGGGTAACCAACTCTTGCGTCACTTCATGATTACCTCCACCATGGTGATGCCCACGTAGGGTCTCGTGGGGGGGTCCCCTGTTATCCTGGGTTTTTACCCGAGGGACCCCTCGTGGAGATGACCCACGGTTTCCCAGTGCCAGGAAATTGGCCGACCCCCGCCAGGCCGAATATGCACTGCGGCCCCGTGGGAACACACCAAACACAGGGGAATAGGGCCGTGGGGAGGGCAAAACACCCAGCGAGCTGGCTAAAGGTAAAAACCTCAGCCAAGAGTACGGGAGGGAGGACGGGCACGTAAATAATGGGTTAGGAAGCAAGTGGGAGAAAACGATGGGCACGTACACAATGGGTTGTGAAGCAAGTGAGAGCTACACGCAGGTAGGCGCCCGATTGGCCAGCAGGGTATCGCTCGCTGCCTAGCCCTGCGCGGGTGGAAAGATTGGGCCCGATTGGCTGGGAGGGCAACACAACTTAGGCAGGGATTTTTGAATTGGGAAGAGATAAAAGGAGGGAAGAGTAGAAACGTTGGTCAGTTCTCCTCCATCTTCTTGGTTCTTTCGGTAAAGTCACGTAGAAGGGAAGTAATAAAATAATAAAAATAAAACATAATAAAATAATTCTCACGACGTTTCGGCCACAACGCAAGTAGCCGTCCTCAGGTGAAAGCAGGTCTGTCGAGGCGACAGCGTCTGAATGAAACAGCACACGTGCTTGGAGCATATATATAAGCTGGGTTGGAAGGGGAGGGGGAAAAGGGGGCGCCTTGACAAAATAATTTGCATATCAAGAGGAATCCAGCATACCCATGGGAAATGCAGGTATGTGATTAGTACTATTTGTGTCCGTGCATTATGCAGGATTAGCAGCATCCAAGGGAGGGGATATGGGAAATGCAGATATGTGATTAGTGCTACTTTGCCCGTGCATGATGCAGGATTAGCAGCATCACAGGGAGGGGATAGGGGTAGCATTAATAAAGGGAAGAAGTGTTAATAGTATGTAGCTGCAGTAACTAAACCCACCACGTTAACAACTAAAGTATAAACTACATAGTATCATCATTATACTAAATATACTCTACAATAAGCTGAATTACTAACAGTAAGTAATACATTACAATTCTACGTCATAAAAAATATAATATGCTTCCATCTAAACTTTATTCTCTTACATCACACGAGTCTACACCGTACTTTATATTGCCATAGACAAACCCAAACATTAAATTATATACTGTATTGCTATAAACCACCCTATGGCAATATATAGTACGGTGTAGACTCGTGTGATGTAAGAGAATAAAGTTTAGATGGAAGCATATTATATTTTTTACGACGTACAATTATAATGTATTACTTACTGTTAGTAACTCAGCTTATTGTAGAGTATATTTAGTATAATGATGATACTATGTAGTTTATACTTTAGTTGTTAACGTGGTGGGTTTAGTTACTGCAGCTACATACTATTAACACTTCTTCCCTTTATTAATGCTACCCCTATCCCCTCCCTGTGATGCTGCTAATCCTGCATCATGCACGGGCAAAGTAGCACTAATCACATATCTGCATTTCCCATATCCCCTCCCTTGGATGCTGCTAATCCTGCATAATGCACGGACACAAGTAGTACTAATCACATACCTGCATTTCCCATGGGTATGCTGGATTCCTCTTGATATGCAAATTATTTTGTCAAGGCGCCCCCTTCCCCCCCCCCTTCCAACCCAGCTTATATATATATATGCTCCAAGCACGTGTGCTGTTTCATTCAGACGCTGTCGCCTAGACAGACCTGGTTTCACCTGAGGACGGCTACTTGCGTTGTGGCAGAAACGTCGTGAGAATTATTTTATAATGTTTAATTTTTATTATTTTATTACTTCCCTTCTACGTGACTTTACCGAAAGAACCAAGACGATGAATCCCTGCAGTCACGAAAGCTTTAAATCAAAAGTTCTCCTCCAGTCAGCCAGCTACCCAGTCGGACTCCCAGTCGCTCGAGCGTCCGAGAGACGCCGGCGAGTGCAGCTACAACTCGACCCAGGCAAAGACCCCTCCGGATCCTCGTCCCTCCAACTCCCATCGCGTATCGTGAGTACGTAAGAGGGGTGAGGAATAGCGCGAGGGTTCCCCGAGGGTTTGGATAGAGACAGGTGGGACGCTGCTCGCTAGGTATTTTGCTCCGGGTCACGCATGGTTTTTCTTCGGGTGAGCCAGTAATAAACTTTAGCACAGAGCAACGATGCCGCGTGATTTCTGCGTGTGTGAGGCAGCGCGGGTAGGAATTCATTAACTGCGCCCCGTTCGCTTGGGCTCGCCATGCGTGTTTTCCCAGCGGATTAACGCGCGAATATCATCATCAATCCGATCGTCGTTCACAGTTCCTATGACCACTGTTTCATTGCTTTCATGGCTTTATTTTGGTGATTTTCGAAAAGTTTTTTGGTTTAGCCATGTTTGTTTGTTGTAGTACAGAGTTAGACTGATGGCCTTAAGCTAAGTTGTCTTGTGGTTGTTTTTGTTTGACTTGCATCCCACTGGGATATTTGCACAGGGTTGGTGTACGGTAATTTTTCTGCAATATTTTGCTGTCTTTTCTTGGATTTTCTGTTTGCACATAGTCACTTTAAGATGTTTTCTTGGTCATGTTTTTGCTTTTAGTTTGTTGCGGTTGCACCCGATTCAAGAGCCGAATGGCTCACAGGGCTATACCTAATACATTAACTTTGAACTTTGTTGTTCCCGGTGCTTGTGTGATCGCGTGCGGGTTTACTCAGCGCATTTTACGCAGTGTGTCTGCGTAGCGACACGCGTTTTACGCAGTGTGTCCGCGTAGCGAAGAGCGTTTTACGCAGCGTGTCCGCGTAGCGACGATAACGCTCAGTGGTGCAACGCGCGAATATTTCCATCGATTCGATCGTCATGTGCCCGAGACTACGCATTTGCCTCCAAGGCAGAAGGAAGCAGATTTTGTGGGAGGGAGCAGAGGCGCGGCATATTCATACGGCTATTTTTAGCGTGAGTCGGGGCAGGCAACCTAAGCGGGCACGCGCGCACGCAGCCACCGCAGCAGGAACGGGTGGCTGTGCGTGCACGTGGTGAGCAGCAGGTACGGTTCGTGCGCATGCACGCAGCCACCGCAGCATGAGTGGTGGTTTACGCGGGGGAGGAAGTCAGGTTAACACATGGCGGTGGAGAGCCAGCCCCGAGGAAACAAGGTTTTTCCAAAACATTGGTGCTGCAACGGTAAAATGGTTGTCACCTATTTCAATTCTCGTTGTTGGGATAGTTAACAGGCAATTAAATAGATGTCTTAGGTTTCTTGAGTTTGACAGTGGGTTTATGATTTAGCTAAATGTATCACAGATTTTGCCAATAAGGATTTTACGGAAGAACAGGGCCCAATGTAGATTTCGACTTGCATCAAGTGACGTGAGATGGGATTTTAAGTCGAGGTCAAATTGGTGGGTCATGTATGGTACATCCAATACAAATCGAAGATCAGAATGACAAATTATGTTTAGTCTGTTCAGTGTTACATTAGTAGCCGATCTATATGCAACGTCACAGTAGCCACCCAACCTTGTGGAACAACATTTGTTATTTCAATATTTTTGGACGAGATGTTACCTGGATGTACCTTTTTGAGAACAGTCTGAGAGGTACCTCTGAAACAATTTTATTTTCCTGTCTGAAAATGTTATATTATTGTGTCGTGTGAGTAGAATATCATGGTCGACAGTATCAAAGGCTTTTGACGAGGCAATGAATAGTACACAGAAGTAGTGGCCTTTATGCAGGTTACTGAAGAAAAAAATATTATCCATCATAGCTGTGGTGGCACAGGAAT